CCCGCTGCTCTCCCCCCCGCTGCCGGTTTGGGGGTGGGGGGGCACCGTGGGTACGGCGCTGCTGCCGCCAGACACCACGCCTCAGAGCCGGCCCTGCACGGGGGACCCCATCCCTGGCTCGGCTCTGAGCGCCGCCGCCTTGCGCGGCATCGAGCTGCTGATCGCTGCTGGCAACAGGCACTATAAAAAGATCCACTCGGCAAAGGAGCAGGGCCCACATACAGCAAACGAGTCCCAGATTCCCTGGAACAAGTCCCAGGTTCCCTGGAAAGCAATGACCTGTCTATGCACTCTGGTCTGCTCACTCCCTCCCAATGTGGTGGATGGTTTGGGGAAAGGTCTTCTTACCCCAGTGCTTGTGCTCTGGGGGCAGCTGCCCACGCTACCCATCTGCCCCTGGACACGTAGCACCTGCCCCTTGAGGGTCCCAGTGGCTCCCTGAGTTAGCACAGTGCTTTTCTCACTTACAGAAGGACCAGTGAGACAGGGATTTTCAATTTTCTAAAGGAGTTGAGAATGCCCCCAGCCATGGCCTGGGACGGCCCTTCCTTGCCCTGCAGTGGGGGCACAGAAAGCTCTGGGAGTGCTGTTCCTGCTTCTAGACCAGGAGAGTTCATTTTGCCCTCAGGAGGTTTCAGCCTTGTGCTCACCCTGCTCTTGGTTCCTGCTGTGAAATAGAAGTGTGGCATCTGGCAGGGAGTCCCTCAGCATTGCCCCTCTAAGTGAATGACTGTGACTGAAGCTGACTACAAGGAGGCTTTTTGAAATAGTGGTCTTGGTCTGGATAGGAGGTGAGGGAGGACCAGCGAGCAAGGGAGTGCAACACTCAATTACATCTGGCCTTCACTGAAGGCTTTCTGTGCCAAAACAGACCTGGCTGGGAGCCCCCAGCTTGTGTCAAGTCCTTGCTCGGAGGAGCTGTGTTGTGGATTGCTTGTTATCCTTCCTGAGCAACACGTGTCCTGGGCTGGCAAATGGGACCTGCTCTGCTCCCACACCAACCTCTGTTTATGTTTTTCATTTCATCCGATCCAGCTGAGTCACTTCCCTGGGAGCTTGCTGGTAGCAGGGCTCGGAGGAGGGCTGAGAGTCAGCCCAGACAGATTCTGGGTACCGCAAGGGGGTTGGGAGGCACCATTACAGCAGAGGCAGAAGTGAGACCAGGTTGTGTTTGTTTGGCCTCTGTTGCATCCCAACCTTTTCCTGGCTTGCGGCTGCACAAGCTTGGCCCTGCCCATGGAGGAAGTGAAGACTCTCCTACCTTTAATACCCAGTGCCAAGGCAGAGCCTCAAGAGCTGGATAGCGCAGGGCCGTCTCCGCTGAGCCACTCATGGGACTGCTCAGGAATCACATCTAATCCAACTCTCTTCAGCCTGCTTGCTGAGCAGCAGTCACCGTGCCAGCACCGGGGCACTGCAGCCTCTCAGGTGGTGCTGGCTCTTTTCCAGATGCAGGTCTCATGGTCAGCATTGCCCTAGGAGGCAATGAACAGCTTTCAGATCCTGCAGCCTGAAAATAGGTTCCCTAACACAACACCACAGCAGGTGCTGTGGGGTGTTTGCTCTGATAAACCTCTTCAGTGCCCTAAGCCTAATGCAGCCCTGAGTTTGCTGTCTCAGCATTTAGGGGAGTGAAAGCAAGATAGGGAAGAGCTGGCTGAACATGCCAGCTGTGTCAGGGCACAGCAAGGGTGGCTGTTCCTGAAAGGGCAGGAGCCTCACCAGCCAGAGACCGGGCACTCAATACCTGGGTCATCCAGGGTCAGACACAGCCCTATGATCAGCAGGCAAGGCCACGGTGATGGGGTAGGGCTAAGGTCCAGCTAGGACATCAACCCACAGTGGAGGACCTAGATCAGCAGAGCCCATAAGCCAGCATGAGCTGAGCTGAGCTAGACCAGCACTCCTACAACATTGCCCAACAGTAACTAAAAGCCCCAGGCTGAGCTTAAATAGAGTCCCTGGGCCTATGGGCAGGAATGGTGGAGACTCCAGGTGAGGCTGATTAGGGCCACTAAGGTTTATTAGTGCCCTCAGGGCCCTGACAAGCTGTTGGTCTGTGGGGGAGTTAGTAGGTAGGTTTGAGCTTATGGCTACTCAGGTGTTTGTGCTATGTACTAGGAGTCACGGACAGTTTCCAGTTGTGAAATGCTCAGACTGCTCTCTTTCTTCTCCACAGGTCAGTTGGAGGTCCAGAAAGAGTATCAGAGCCTGTTACTGCATTGTATGGGTGTATGCTGAGATATAGCTTTACACCATAAGGATGTCCAGTGGAGCTAGCAACCTAGGACTGCACCAATGGTAAGGGTCCCAAACCAGTACCCTTCTTGTGTTCATGTCTGTTAAGTTTTTCTGTATGCAGAGTGGCTGTGGTATGGCTGTACAGCGCTGTAGCACAGGGCTTGGGTGGTGTTATCTACTGTAGCTTAGCAGTGAAGGGACAACTCAAAGCAGGCAAGACTGAAGGATCAGAGCTTTGTTCTGCTCTGCTATCTCAGTCAAGAGTTGTATCAAGCTTCTGCCTTTCTGGTGGTATATGCTTTGCCTAAGGTGTGCCTGTGTTTTTCTTGAGAGGTGCTTGTAAGTCTCACTTTTAAGCTTCAGCTAGATGCACGCTTCTAGTTAAGCCCTAATACTGTAAACTGGTCTGCCAAAACAGCTTCCTGAGTTGGCTCTGATGTCAGAGGGGGTCCCTGGAGACCAGGGGAATTCACCTTGCTGGTCAAGCAGTAGGATGAGGGCAGAGCTTGGGTTAAAAACTTCCTGTTATAAGCTTGGATAACTGCCAGCTTCTAGATTTTAAAGAGGATGTGGGAAAGATTATCACAACTGCTCCTGTAAGATCAATCATCAGTTCTCCTAATTCTGAAAAGAAATAAAAAGGGCTGTGGTCCTGTTCATGTGTAAGTCTACTGGTGTCTCTAAGTGCTATGAGTTCAGTGATAAGCCTGGTGGAGATAGGTTGTGAGAGATGGGGAAATGGAGTTGACAAGCACTTAAGTGAACCCAGCTGGCCTGCCTTCAGCTTATGTTCTGTTAGCTGCATGGCACAGTGCATGCCTGGTATCATTCAGGCAGCCCCAGCTCCTGGCTTAAAGAGGGTGCCCTTTGCAAGATCAGTGAGCTGAGCTTGGAGGTGCTTCCCTTTCAAGGGGGAACTGCATCTGTCATGACTCACCAGGCAAGTGCCTGTCACTTCTGTCTTGTCCCCTTGTAAGATATTGTTTTAGACCAAATGCATGTGAAGTTG